TCACAACCACGCCTGAAATCTCGATTATCACTTTATCATGCGAGAGTATAAAATGTTCGGTGACTCCCGAACTTAGCCCTTCCTTACTTGTTTTTTAATTGAAATCAATTTATACGAATTTATTTTAAGCATCTAAAAACTTCTTCTGCAAAAAAAAAAAACGTTTAGTAGCGGCTTTGAACTTCACAGACCAACAAGAAAATCAGTCTAGTAACAAATACGATCCAAATATCATAACTGTTTTTTTTTGTAAAAAAAAAAACAAAATAAATTTTGAAACATTTTCTTGAAATTAAAGGTAATGACTTCTTGGAATTAAACACCGTGTTTGTGGTTTTTTCCTTTCAGTTAAAGGAGAATTAATTTATGTATATCCACCACAATTCAATACAACAGCTTTATATTATTAAGTTTTCATTGACCTCCAATTTTTAGGGAACAATCTCAGTCAATAAGGTTGGATTAGGTTCAGACAGACAAAGGAGGTGTTCCAGTGTCCCTCTCATATCAACTACTCTGCACTTTCTGTAGGTATCGTGAACACTTATGCCCATCCGGCTCGCATGTGATACCAGTAGGTTGTGACCTGTCAAGAAGCCAACAGTCATTCAGCAGTCCTTTCGACACCGTGTGGGTAAGAAGTAAGTAATTTTTCCGAAGGGGCTCTTGCACATGATCTTGACGATCCTGCATGTACTTAAGGTATTCCATCTCGCCCTGGTCTGTCTGTCTGTCCTTTCGGAAACTTCGTTGTATATGCTTTTAGTAACTTTCATATTTCCTGTACTTGTTCGGAGAGACTTTCGTATTTCCTGTATTTATTCGGTATAAGTGAATAAGAAATAACAGCAGATATTTTTTAACACAGCAAAATATGTTTTGATTCTCATTATATATTGAGTAACTCTCGTGAAGTCACCGGTTGGCTTAAGTATGTTTTTATTCCAACTGTCAAAATTCTTTGAAATATTAACAGGTGAAATCGAATCGGTCCGTCATAACTACACAAGCTGTGATGCTGTTGCATGGCAAAGACTGTAGGCCCTTGGCGGTCATTCCTTTAGTCATTAGGATAATTTATCTGGTATTATTTACATTTATAAGATATCTCAATCAACTATAATGACTTATACTAGCATAACTTCAAATATGTACGCACAAGAATTAACAAGGTTTATAAAGATTTACTTATAAATTTAATTTAAAAGGTTTTTGGGCCCTTATTTTCAATTCTTCACACTAAAGCGGCCCTGTAAAATAACCCTGGAAGTATACATCTAGGAAAGTATGCGCCATGTACATATGTATGTTATTACGAACGTATAACATTCACTTTTAACTATTGTGCTACAATAACAATTCATAAGTCAATACACACACATTTACACAGTTTTGCAGATGCATAACTATCGTGTGTCCATGAATAGATACATACATAGTATGTATGAAGTTCTAGTCAAAATTTTATTTGCTTTTATAATAGCGAAAACAACATACATATATACATACATAAAAACGAAAATATGTAGGTACATGATTTTATCGAAAAATAAGCGCTTTTAATTAATTAAATATTTTTTCTTTCGAACTGGTATCGATTCTGTTCGCTGTTGTGTGAATCATAAGACGCTTGAAATCTCGATTTCGACCAGTTTTATTTTTCGTAAAACTGTTATTTAGTTAATTATGGCATGAGCAAACTCTTGAACTTTTAAAGCGCCGACTTGATATTACTGACGCGTTTTTATGGGTAGGTATGTACATACATAAATAATTATGGTATATACATATGTATATGTACATATAGTATATCATATATTTTGTATGTATGTATATGAACTTTTAAATTTTGTGGAGCGATATTTACAGTAATAGAATTTACAATACATTAAAAGCAATATATGTATATACCTATGTACATACACATACAATAACTACTAAAATTTACTTTAATTTACCTTCATATATTTAAACTTGATTTGCTACTTATAAAAATGGACGACAGATAGTTTTCAGAACAAAAATTACTTTTGCCATTTGAAGGCGTTAAGAAAAATACATACATACATATATACATATGTTTATCGAAATGTTTCTGAAAAAGTTACTGTCATATAAATTTCATGTTACATCTACATATGTATATAGAGCGCGTTGGATTCGGCAATTTTCTGCTCGCTCCCCCTTCTTTTAAAAAATGTTCTAAATAAAATCGGTATAAGGGAGTGTGTGGATCCCTCATTCAAGTGGTAAAGACGCTTGATATTCTGTTTTCACTTTGAAATGTTATATCCACTTACAAGGCAGAAAAAATGTGTTATTTTGTGATTTTTTCCTTTTAAGCGCCTTTTTATTTAATATACAAAAAACGGACTTTTACAGAGTTAAATAATAATCAATAATCGACGATTAATCTTGAAAAGTTTTGGATTTTCTTGAAAACGCTATTTTTTTGATGAATACACGTAATTATCGAAGGGTAGTCAAAACCTTGATTTTTGACAAAATGGCGAAAACTAAAAAAAGAAAAAATCTACACTTCAGTCTGATTTAAAAAATCGAAATTATTATCAATAAACGTATTCGTTGTTTTAGCTCTAATCGGTCAAGTCGTTTTGAAATGACAATGAACACGGACTTTCGAAAAGTAGTTCTCGGAAAAACGGGTCTAAAATTTATAAACTAAATAAGTGACGAAACAGAATTACCCTACATCATCGATAATGTATCAAAATTCGCAAAAAACACTTTTTTTACCTTAAAAAACTCCAAAATGCTGCCCAACTTCAAATTATCCCAATTGTTCTCGAATATACATATTTACAATCTTTACACATTATTATTTTATAACGGTCTCAAAAACATGTACACTATCAATTAATACGAAATAAAATTGAACGGAGTAATAAAGAATGCGAGTATACATATTATGATCAAATGTCAAGATACTGGCGCCTATGATGCGACTCTCTCATATACAAGTGAAAGGCCTAAGTTCGTTTCCGACGTTCAATCGTTCTAATAAGGCACAATAATATTATTTGTTGATTAGTAGAACTACCATGTTCAAAGTAGTCGATGGAAGCCTGTTGTCTTCTGGGGAGATTTGGATGACACAACAACCGACTGCCAGTTGGATTCATGTACTTTTCATTCATCTATTCTCTCATATTGCGGCAGAAAGAAATTTTTATTGCGTTTGATCAATTATAGTCCAATAAATAGAGAACGGTTGGGTGATATGATATGTCAAGAAAATTTAACAGTATTTGGTTACAAGGTTAGATATTTCTTGTTTGTGGCGCGTTCTCTCATCAGGCCAAACAGTTGACTGTCCATATACTATATACTACGTATATTACTTCTCACTGACCGTTCCTTTTTAGAGTGAACTCTGCCTTCTACGTCAGTTATTTATTTAGCGAAAAAATATAGTGTTTTAATTGTAATATAAATTAATCATTTTTAATTTCTTGAAAACTTTCTTCACATTAAATTGGAGCGAAAATAAACTAATCAACATT